TAGTAATTAGTAGTAGTAATTAGTACCAGTAATTAGTAGCAGTAATAAGTAGTAGTAGTAGTAGTAGGAGGAGGAGTAGTAGTAGTAGTAGTAATTAGTAGTAGTAGTAGTAGTAGTAGTAGTAATAATTAGTTGGTAGTGGCATCAGACACCCCCCTACGGGCCATGTTTTCAGCTTGCACACATTGAAAGTTGAAACCATTGGAAATTCTCGCCCTTCTGTGGACTTCGTAAATTCGCGTAAGCACAGGGGATGTGGAGAGGGGTGGACGGGTTGTATTAATGTCCATTCGAAGTGCCAGGTAATTACTTAACTTGTTATGATTTTAACGTGGGTATGGCACGTCCCACCACTATCCTCTTCGACTAAGGCTCAGAAGGTGGCAGTAGTAGCACTAGCACGAGGATACTTGCAGGAGCGGTGCCCGGACCTGCTGCACCTCGCGGAAGTTATCGTACTTGTACTTTAACTTTGGTAGCAGCTGTTATGGTAGGAGGAGGAGTGGGAAGCCGAAAGTTGGGTGGTGTGCTCGTTGTACGTACTCCAAGAAGGCTTGTTGGAGTTTGCTTCGGCTGACCGCGCTGTCAGGCAGAGATGCTTTATTGGGACGAATTTGATCGAGCTTGGGCCCGCGATGCCTACGGCAGGCTCAGGGGCATGTCTGGTGGAGCCGTAACGTTTGCCACGTGTGCGACCCATTTTGGTGTTGCCCCGCGTGTCAGGTTTCATCGCTTGCCAGATTTGGACAGACAACGGTAGCAATGGCTTGGAGGGCTGAACGGAGCTACTGTTTTGTGGCAGGCTGGCGCAGGCTTCACAGGGGCTCGCTTTCAGATTCTGGCGCTCCATTCAGTCCACTTCTACTTAGGCACTTGCTGCTGCAAAGCAGCAGCAAGCCATTGAAGCCAGCTCTCCCAGCGGTTAAAGCCACATTGATGTTTGAATGGCTGCTTTCAGGCGGACTGCTTGGGTGACACATGCATTAGAGACTATGGTTTGCCAGTCATGGTTGCTACAAAGGGTGACCAGAAGTTGCTTAATCGCAAGTCTATTCTATGACCCCTGAAAGGCGGGAGTGCCAGTGCTGGACAACGCTAGGTAGCCACAGCCGCCGCAAACATGCAACCATACGGCAAATATCCTTTTGTGAGTCGTCATTGGACTGTCGAGCATAGCCTGGGAGAGATGCAGGTCATACTCTGTGCAAAGTTGACCATCCGGGGCAATTTCGAGCGTCTTCAGCCATGCCAGGTTCAGACTTTCATGATTCAACTGTCAAAGGCCCTCTCAAACATAGATTGGCAAAGATTGAGCCACAAAAGGTAAGGCTTAGCTGCATACTGATGCAATTACACTGTACGTTACAGATCCAACAGAATCTGACATCATGAACGAACTTGGGCGCAAAAACATAGTGACATTGTGACACTGCTGCCTGCAGCTCCCGCGCCAATGTCGGTCCAACCCTTGGGTGATATATTGGATTGCAGCTCACAGAAATGCCATTCAGGCTTGTGTTTCACAAAACATGGGATCGTATTCTTGATGATCTTGAGGATGTGGAGCAGAAAGATATCGAGGCCGCCTGAGTGGCTCTTCCTTGCGCCTTCCAATTATATGTGGTGAATTATTACACGTATGTGGAGGATACATAGATTTATGTGTGAAGTGTGGGGCTGACTGATTTTACTGATTGCTACTTGGTGCAAGACGAGCACAAGACCAGCAGGTTGCCAGAGAAGATCAGCAGCGAATAAATCGGTTCAGCCGACTGATTCCTGGCCAGCACAGTTTTCCATCACGCAGATTCCCTCTCATCATCTTGTCTCTGACATTGTACCTTTCATGCCAGCGTAGTGTGAGCGGATGCCCTTCTTTTTGAAATTTGCTCGGCAAGGAATCTTCAGAAACTTGGTGGCATGCCGTGTCAGCATTGCTTGTGAAGATATCCTGTGCTGCTTTGAAAATCAGGTATGATGACTTGGACGAGGAGATCACCAAGATCAAGAAGGAGGTTCAGACGTACAAGGCCAAACCTAGCTTGCGATAAGGATTCCTGCGCAGTATCATTGTCAAATTATGAAACATCTGTCAAGCGAGACTAGCTCGGCGATGGTGCGTGCAGGATGCCACAGAGGAGATTGAAGGCGTCTTGTTCAGAGAACCGTAGAAGCTGCTGCATGCGAGTCCTGAGTTTGTGTTGATGGATTTCTGTAGCCAGTTTTCATGGTGCGCAGGATTTTTGGCTGGTTGTGCATCAGATTTCTGTTTGACTATGCGGCAGCAAAGCAAAAATGAAGTTTTCCAGCAGGATGCATGGAAGACAATGGTATCATGGTCAAGATTGGTGAGGCATACACTCCTGTGGACGAGGACGGGTGTAGCGTGATTTGCCGGCGGACTCAGTGCTCATCAGGAAGTTGGAGTGACTTTTTTCAGTGCACTCTTACGTGAGGAGCGTTCAATGAAGACTGCATGACAGGATACCGTGTTAGAAAAGCTGGCGACGCTTGTGGAAACCTCTGAGGAACTCAGCGCGAGAGCTCTAGTACGTTAGATCAACACAGACGCTGGTCTCAGATCAATGCAGGCCGCCTTGTCCCAAAAGTCGGACGAGATCGAAGCTGTGAGAGGTGAACTGGATTCTTTGAAGAAGGCTTGGCAGCAAGCATCCACTTTCCATCTGACTACATAGGGTTTTTAGCAACTGGGCAAATGACGGCTTCCTCACTTTGCCTCACAACCAGAGCACAGCTTCAAGATTTATCCAGTTCTAAATTTGGTGTCTGGGTGACATGTTTCCTGGTGCTATGAGTGCTGAGGCTGCCGCGTGCTATGCAAATGAACAATTTGGTATTCTGGATCACGTGTTCTCAGGTCTTCAAGCTTATGGTTGTGAGGCTTTTTCTCCACGTCAGCCGGTGTGCCAGCAGTCATGCCTTCGGCCCCGAAGGTGCTCTATGCCAAGTTTGGGTCCAGCATCAACCTGGAGAAGTGAGTCGTTGAAGGTTTGGTGCCAGCTCAGCCAACTTGCGGTTGGATTCGCCGCCAGGTCCAGCAGCTCAGGAAAGGAGTGTTCTGGGTGAGGTGCCTCATGACATCTGATCTGCTTCACAAGGAGCAGAGCACGCTACGCTACACTTCAGCACGGCAAATTGACTGCATTGGAATCACAACAAAAAGTTCTTGGCAGTGCTTTGCAAGATTATGCAGCTCGAGACTGCCAAGTCGCAGTAGTTGTCCTGACAGCAGAACCTTGACGTCGAAGTCCACGTGTGCGGAAGCTGTTTGGATCATGATGAGTTCCAGAAGCAGTCTGTTGGTCTGAGCTGTCTTAACTCCTAGCAGAGAGCCTGTTCAAAGCTCCTTATTTGAGGCTCAGCAGTTTCCAGGTCATGTTTGTCGCTTGAGCTCGGTGGGCCCACCTTGACCTGGCCCCGTGCAGACCAGTCTTACGCAAAACTGTACAACCACAAATATCAAGAATTGCCTAGCTGAAGCCATGCGTCTGAACAGTCTTCTGGGCCTGGGGGGCCTGTGCGATCCTGAGATATTTTTCAGACAGCCTGGGGCAGTTCAGTGAATACTCTCTCAGCTTTGCAGGGGCCGCCAGAGCGAGAAGCCCCGTGAGTCTAAGCGTCACAAGCGCCTCGTGTCAGGCTCAGCTGAGGTGTGACATGCATGAGAATCTCCGCCTCACGAAGTTGCCCAACTGCTGTATTCGATACTTGCGGGACTTATTGCTCAGCTTGCATACCACCCGTTGCAAATTTAGCTGCTGAACTAGCTGAAGCAGATGAGCACGTGAGCACGTTACTCAGGATGTGCTGGAATCTTTGGGCATTGGTCAGAGCGCTTCCTCCTGAGCTTTCATCTGCAACTGCACTGCCACGAGACCACACTGTTCCAAGCGCTGTCCCTTCAGATAGAAGAATAAACGGTATCAGTTGGTGGGGCGCGCACAAAACCCCTGGCGATTTCTGCCTGACTCGTCAGGTGACAGACGCCATGCTGCAGGCAGTGTGCCAGGGTTTTTTGGTGCTATGGATGAGGTGAAGACTTTGCAGGATGCTTACTTCTTGAGCTTTCTTGACCGCAACAGCGTTAGCGGCTCGCATAAACAAATATGTTGCAAAAACAAGATTTACACTCTAAAGCATCGAGCTGGTATTGTCTTTTTTGTCAGAACGGTCATGAGCCTGTCACGACGAGCTCGGCGAAGAGCGCGCCCAACAAAGCTGGCAGCAGCAGGCGGGAAAGACCTCAGCGTTTGGATTCAGTTTCCGCAGAATTTTGTGCGCAGGCCTTTGCCTGGTTGGCTGCACACTTGGGACATCAAAGGCAGGCACATTGCCTGTCGAGTGGCGCGCGAGACCGGCTGAAGCCCTGGAGACTCTTTGCCTCTTTGCCTTTGCCCGCTTTGCTGAAATCGATGGCTGTCGATGGCCGTTTGGCTTTTGAGGTTACGATGGCAGAGCCACCTCCTCGCGTGGCTGTTTTCTCAGTTGACCTGTCTTTTGACAGCTACTTCCAACAGCGCTCAACATTTGCACCAACTGTGAACTCTACTCAGTGGAGTTTGAGCTCAGTGAGGTCTTGGAAGCGAATCGCCGGCTGATCGAGCGACATGAGCTCCAGCCCGGGCGCACACAGTGGGCCCCGCTGCCTTCTCCGCAACAGGTGCCATGCCATCCGTGCCCCACATGCCCCACCCTACCCACTCCATGACTGAAACAGCTTACATGAATTAAGCATGGCCCGGCTTGAATTTTGGGAACGTGCGGGCGGGATTGCAATAGCAATGTGTTCATCAGGTCTGGGCGCATTCCTGTGTGACCAGGGCAAAGCTGGAAGCTGCGCTGAAGGACTACACACACCTCGACTGCTGCAGTTTTGCCACAGATTTGGCATGGTTTTCAGCTGCCAGGATCCCAAAGTCACAGCCATTGAAGTGGATGTAGCCATGGGATATCTGACAGGAGCGGGAACACCCTCATATCCTGGCATTCAGTGTCTCAAGATAATGGAACTGGCAAACTTTCAGACCAAAAGCCTGAGACCAGGACCAGACGGCAGCGGAAACATATTAGTCCCTGTGATGGCACACCCGTGCAAGACTGAGATTCTGGGGGGTATGAAGGCCTTTGATTATCCGCACCTGAACAGGGATACACGAAACTGACTCGAGGCCAGTCCTGACCTCTGACCTTTCCTTCGAGGAATTTCTGGATGAGGTGCAGCAAAGTGTGTTTTGTCCAGCCCTCTTTAGATCAGGACAGTGGCGCTGATCTTCTGCCTCAGCTGCCCCAGGTGGTGCAAGATGGCCGACGTCATGTCAAATTTGACTTCAAGGCCCCTGCTCTCTCAAATTATCTCAGGCGATGCGAGGACCCAAGCATTTGGATTGGAATTCTGCAGGACCTGGAGTCCGTGCAGCGATGCCTTCCACTGCTGGCTGAAAGAAGCCGGCAGCTTGCTGCCAACGAGCAGGCAAGGGCTGGGTGGCAGCCTTTTGCAGCCCTCACAGCCCTCCGGTCCTCTTGTTGTTGAGGCCGTATGGCTGAACGCCGATGTGTGGCACCTACTGTCTGCTAGAATTTCGACTCTCCGTCTGCTTTCAGCCTCCCTTAGACATTTTCCTCCCCTTAGCCTTTCTCCTTTATCTCCTCTGCCGGCTCTTCACTCTTCTTCTTCCTTTTCTTGTCAGGTGCTCCCTGGGCCTGGACTTCGGGGCTGGCGCTGTGCGGTGCCCGCAGAGGCATTCTTTGATGCCGCGGAGACCTACTGCCCAGGCATTCTGTGCACGCTTTGACGCTGTTGCGTTAGTGTCTGCTTCAGAGATGTGGCATTTGGCCGAGGAGCACACCTGAGTCTTGGCTGGAAAGCCAACCCGGTTGGCCTGGAGTCCTATACCGAGGCACATAAATGTTGAGTTCCGTTTTGGAACTCTGCGCGTTTTCGCTTGCCGGAAGTGCAGGCTGACTGCAGGGCCATGGCGGAACTTTGCAGGCGGAGGGCCGTTTTTCTGCACGCTATGCACGCCATGGCGCATGATGTGCTGCTGTAACCAAAGTGCACCCCTTCAGGAGGCATGGGCAGTTGGCCAAAGGCGGTGTAGTCTTCGCAGTAGCTGCACGGACGGCCTCCAGAAACCCAGAGCCTTTGGCGGCTCTTCTTGCCCAGGTGACACTTTCAGCCTGCTTGCTGCCTGAAGTCTGTGCATGCTGGGTACAAACTTCTGCGAAGGTGCCCGGAAGCCAGCTGCTGTTCTGGACAGGCATCTCGTCTGACAGTTCCCATCTGCGGGCAGACTACACTCTCAAGCTTTTTCAAGCGCCCCCGCGCTTTGAGATCGCATGCAATGTGCAGTCCGGCAAGCCGGCAAAGACCAAAGACTTCAGCAACACAACGTTCTCAGACTGCTGTGAGATGCAGCGAAAAGGCAGAGTTTAGCAAGAGACCAACACTTTAAGATACTTCCAATTCTGCAAGCCAGCATGTATGTTGAATTCTTTGGCTCGAGGACAAGTGAGAATGCCCATGACGTGCAGTGCAGTCTTGAAGCATTTGCTTTGGCTTTCAGTCCGAGCAGGCATGATTCAGCCATATTACATGCTGGCGAAATCCTTCGTGCAAAGGTACTTGGGAGCCGCCAATCCTGGCTGCCACTAAAGGTCACCTTTGCAAGGCTCCTGCTGTTTGTATTGTTATCGTTATCGTTCTCGTTATCGTTGTTGTTGTTGTTGTTGTTGGCCTACACTGCGAACCTGTTGTAATACGTACAAAAAAAGAAGCGGCGCGAGCTAGCGCGCGTCTGCCGGCCAAAAACGAACGCTTCAACAAGAAGTGCCACAACCGGGCTCGAATCGTCGATTTTCAGCTGGTTTCGGAGCTACAGCGCGTAATTCAGCGGAGATCTGGCAGCTGCCCATGAAAAGTGCGGGGGGGCAGGCCACAGGTAGGAATTGCAGCATTCGCTACACGTCGTGTAGGAATTGCAGCATTCTCTGCCCGTTTGGTCGTTTTTCGGTTGGCTCTGGAGCCAGGGAAGGCGGTCTAGGGAAAATTTGGCAGGTGCCCATGGAAAGTGCAAGGGGGAAGGCACACTAGGAATTACGCAGTCTTGGCCTTGACCTTGTTGTTGTTGTTGTTGTTGTTGTTCTTGTTGTTCTTTCGTGTTCAGAAAGGCTTCCACGTGTTGCTTCCATCAGGGCGTTTCGTGCGTTTCATGCACAAAGTCTCGCTTGATAAACGCTTTGCGATAATTGCTGCGATAATTGCTGCCCAGCCTGCATCTTTTGCCGACGGTTGCGCTGCTCTTTTGCTTTTTCAAGCTGGATGCAAAAACGCCGAGAAGGTTGCAGGCTTTGTTAGAGACAGGGCCCTTGTTGTTGTGAAGGCCTTTGCAGCACTTGGACTTGGCACCCGCTGCGGCTTCGATGTGCGCACTGTAGACCCGCAGCAGCAGCCTGGCCAGCAAGGGCAGTCGGATGGGATGCAAACGACTCGTACTCATTTGTGTGCTGTGTGGTTGGTGTCCTTCTTGGGGCCCGGCTTGGGGTCATGCCTTGTGGGTTAGCATTTGCCAAGATCTGCCAAACGAAAAATTTGGATGGTGGCTAGGCCTCCCTTAAGAGACTGAAAAGCCAATGAACAAATCTAGGCCGACAGTGTAAAAAACATGTAACATTGATATAACATATACCTGCCCACCCACCTCCTCCTCCTCGCGGAGCGGCTACGGGTCTTCTGGAGCATGTTTGTTACTAGAAACAACATTGTGTTGGGTGTTCCCTTTAAGGTCTAGAGGTTTCGTCAAGGCTTCAGAAATTACAGCGTGCAAGTAGTACAGGTTCCAACCATGTACTTGAGTTAAGGTCACTCGTTGTAGCTGTGAAGTCTTGATTGCCTGCGTACTTTTTCATCGATGTTCACACCTCTAAGGTATTTCTTAGACTGGATGGCTCGAATTGCCGGCCTCTTCACAGATGTCGGCTGCACGATAGCAAGGGCCTTTGCTCCTAAGCTTGCAGCAATTCAATAGTTGGAATATTCGACATACCATTTGCAGTTTAGATGTGCCGCGAGTGGCTTCCTTGCACGTGTGCACGTGATGCATGCCCAATGCGCTCTTCTTGTACAGAGGTGTCTGCTGTATGCTAGAACATGCAAAGTGACTATTCGTGTGTGTATGTGTGTTGACTAGACGCCTTGGTACATCCTGCAGCAAGCCGAAATCTCTCTTGCGCAGCAGGGAAAACTTGATGGCCCCTAGCTTTGCAAGTCCATTTTCCGAAAGAGCAGGTTCGTGTGGCAGCCCGGCTCAAAACATCTTGATTACAGTCGCAAAGCTCATGGCACAGAAAAGAGATTCAGTGTCAGCTGCCATGCGTCACTTTGCAAGTTTTGGTTGAGTGTTCAGGGCCAAGGCCCCTTTTGTAGGGCAGCTTTGAGCACCCAAGCTCCTTGGTCCGGCCTGCCTTGCCTCACGAGAACCGTGAGGTATAGAGGCTGGTGCGGTTGCGGATTTGAACCTTCGTTCTTTGCAAGTTCGCGTGTATGGCCAGTAACCCACCTCAAATCCTGCCGCGACTGGGCTAACACGGAAGTGCCCATGCACCCTGACGTCGTCACGCTGATTACAGCGTGCATTGCCAATGCCAAGCATCCATTCTGACGTCGAAATTCCTACATGCACATGCATTGCATCTATGCTGGACAATCCATGCATGTAACGTTTGGTAGACCCTAAGAGACTGTACAGAGACGGGCATTTGCTGGAAAGCTGGGCCCAGTTTGCTAGACACACCGCACTTGTGCAGTTCATTACATTAGCTGTTGTTGCTTAAGGCTAGCTGAGCTTCCAGCTTCCAGATTTTCCTGTGCAGCGCCAACCTCGACCCGCACAAGCTGAGTTTCTGAAGCAGACAAAGATTTGCAGTTGGTTGTTCGCAAGTAGCTTTGTGACTCATTTCAAGCAATTCAGCTACTTGTCAGGAGGGAGAGCTCCAGACTTCTTCAGCGTCAGAAGGTTGCTTGTGCAGAATTACAGGCTGTTTTCAGCTTTTGTTTGTGCGGCGGTGTCTGTTCTTGAGTGATGACTATTCCAGAATGCAGGGCTGGCTGATTCCTGCACTGTAATGATGACTTAGCCTAGAGGCGCAGAGAGTACGCTCCATGGTCAGGCCACGGGAGCTTAAGGCGAATTGTAGTAGATGTTGACAGAGGACCCAGCAAGTTGTGCCCAAGCCCTCGAAGAAAAGGAAGAAAGCTCTGCCACCCGAAGCTAGGCTGCTGGTCCCCACATTTAGCTCACTTGACTAGGCCTTGGGGCTTCTTTTCGAGTTCAATGCAGATAGAAGCGTTTGAGTGTCAAGTGAGTTGTGCGCGAGCGTCCAATGCAAACAGAGTCTTGGTCTATTTCGCCAAGGTCCCTCTTCTGTCACCGGCGTTAGCGGCTTGGAACCAAGTTGTATGTGCTCCTGAAGCTGGTGATTGTCGCCTGCCATGTGCTGATGGAAGTCGTTTCACCCACTTAGCAGCAGCTTGCCAAGCAGCGCAGTGATCTCCGTGCTGCGCATTTCATGCCTGCAATTCACGCATTCAGCGAAACAGCATTTCAAAATCACCATTCTGACCCAAACTTGTGCACTGGTGTCACATGCATGTGCAAGTGGCAAGCAGTGCTCATGAGGCAGATAGAGACGAGGCTGATGATGACCTCCGGTTGTCACACACTCTTGTTTGCATGATCGGCGTCGTCCTTGCTGCATGTGACAAGTTACCTGCCATAGCTAGATGGACTGCTTCATGTTCCAAATGGTGCCCAAAGATAAGAGTGGCAGGCCAGGTGATGTGGAGCCCGTACCTGCAGCCATGGCCCAAGACATGACACCTGGTGGCTTGCATCAATTATGCCACCGGTGATCACTGGTGCCACTTGACACCAGGTCCTCGGCTGCGAGGGACCTCCAGCTCAAAGCTCGTCTTCTGTTCCACCTGCATTGCTTTACACCATCGACGTGGCATGCTCAGAAAAGCTGAAATGATTGCTTCCCAAATCCGCCAGGCGCCTGGGCCTTCCTCCGAGCTTGAGCACGAGGAGGGTGACATCATTGGCTCTTTCGTACTTGACGAGGATGAAGAGGTCTGCTTCATGTTTCCTGAAGCCCGGGCAGATCTGTCCCCGAAGATTTTTGAAGCCTGTCAGCAGAGCTGCTTATGCCCGACACTGAGTTTGTGCGGGATCTCATCCCTGGTCTTGAGCCTGCGCTTTCCTCAGGCTTCACCTGCTGCGCCGGCAGACAATGCAGAGCTGTCTGCGGCAGGTCTGGATAGATTTGTGCAGAGTGTGCTGCACATAGAATGGAGGGGGATGGTGTTGTCGTACGAAGGAGCTCGACATGTTTGCCAACATCTGAGAAGCTGCATGTAATCATGGGCATACAAGCTACCTGATCCTGTACAGGGCCAGCAGCCATGCGAGAAACACGGGTTGACACCATGACACGTTGTGCTGTTGTAAGAGTTAGTGTAGCGCTAGGGCACAATGCGCACACCCTGCAGCTGCTGGTCTCCCATCATGTTCTGGCGTTATGGTCAGGGACGGAGCAGGGGTTTCGAGCATGTTGGGTGAGGGGGTTCCTGCCTGAGTGCTTGTTTGTGTGGAATCCGCAAATGTGTGCGCGTAAACGTGATACTGCCTGAGCCGAGAAAGGTTCTTGGCTAGAGCAAAGTGATGTGTGGGGATGCTAGTGTATAATCTTTGCTGCGAAGGGAGCTGCTTGAGCGACCCACTCACTTGCATGCTGTGAGGTCCACAGCTGTCGCGCCGCGTGGTCTGGGAAAGGGCGTGCAACGAAAGGGGAACGACAAATTGTTGTTCGTAAGTGAGAAGCACTGAAGCTGGCGATTTGTTCTTTGACAAGGTAAAATCCTGCAAGCATGCAAGGTCATATCGGCTGGCAACTTTGCGGCTGAGCTTTCATGGAAAAAACAACGCAGAAACCTTTGTCAAACGCAATTTGCTCGGACACGATGAGACACGATACTACGCAAGAGTACGCATACACGCACAGCCCAACACTCTGTTGGTCAAACTATGATGCAGAAGATCATGGCTCCAACTCCAAACAGGCTTCTTACAGCTTTACAGTCATGATGTCCGCATCCATGGCTCCAGCTGCCGCAGACATCAGGATGCAGCACGATGCCGTAGTTTCATCAAATTATGACCTGTGATCGGCATTTCCCAAGGACCTTCACTGCCGCCCATGTGGACGCACGCATTGTCGTGCCTGGGAGCAAACAACAGCTGGCGCTTGATGACTTTAGTTTTGCAGGCTAGCTGGCGGGCAAGCAGCTATTTGGCATAATTTACTGTAGTTGAAAAGAACATGACGAGCTTCAGCGCTTCTAAAGCAGCTTCGCAAAACGACTGATGCACCGAAGCCAGAAAAGGTGGTAGCTTGCTACTGTTTGATGGCGCTGCGCAGACGTACCAAATCCTTCTGTATCCTTTCCAAGCTTGATTAGAATTATGTCATCTACTGTGCCAGCACCGCGGCCGTCTTTTGCAAACTGCGGCCGTCTTTTCCGCCCAACGTTACGGGATGCTCCCTGTCTCATGTCTTCTCGCGAGGGTCATTGAAACCATTTGTTTGCGTCATTTTGCATCCAATGTGTTATTGTGACAAAATAAAAGGAGCATTCCACAAGGCGGCGCATTTCATGCCTGTGCGGTACAAGGTGTCAAGCACCGAAGCAGAAATGATGCTGAATTGTAGTAGCGAAGTGTCGCCAGGATGCACTGCCCCTAGACGAGCGCACCCACCAAGGCCAACAGTCCTTGGATGCCGGTGCCTTTTCGTGCGTGACACCATAGTCGCTTGGTCCTCCGAAAGTGGCTCAAGTGAGCTATCGTCTGAGCATTTT